CTCTCTCTCTCTCTCTCTCTCTCTCTCTCTCTCTCTCTCTCTCTCTCTCTGTCGTGCGCGTCTATATTTTCGGTCGTATCGGAAGGTCGCATCCAGCCGTTGCGGTAAGAACGTTAAAATATAAAGCCACGAAATGTAGGACGCGATCGCAATAATAATCTCCGTTAGAGCGTTAGCGAGTTAGAGGGGATGAGAGCGCGTATGGGCAAACGTTTTCTCCTTGAACTACCCTCGCGCGGCGCGCCCCGACGGCGATTGGCGTCGAACGGCGATTTTCTGTTCGTTACTTATTGTCATTTACTTGGCGGTTATCGATTCGACTTACGGTTAAACGCTCCGCTTAACGCTTCGCATTAAAAATTTTATATTCGGCCGCTGTGCCGTTGCGCGAGGCTCTGTCTGCTTAACGTTCCCCGCTAAATTCCGCTAAAGTCGCGACGGCGTACATGTTTCCTTCGCATGCTCTCCTGCAGTTCTTTTTATTTTCGAAGACGTTGGACGCCGCGCACGCAGAAATATCGCGGTCACGATGAATGGCGAGCGAAGAGTTCGCAGAACAAAATCACCGCGACGGAATGACCGGGCGATCTGTTTAAGAGCGTGCGGCTTTAAGACAGTGTTGGATACCGACGTAACGCAGTTTCGTAGATCTTTTCTTCTAATTGGATGCATCGAATCGAAAATGCTTTTGCAGGATGAAAGTATAAACGTCGACGAATCGCGGATGCTAAACAGTCGCATGAAATCGACAAGAAATTTTTTTTTATTTATCGACCGAATATGAGAACTTTTTTCTTCATTTCATGCAATTGTGTAGCATCAGCCGTTTGTTAACGTTTGTACTTTTATCCTGTGAAAGCATTTTCAATTTGATGCATCCAATTAGAAGAAAAGAGAGAACTACGAAACTGCGTCGTGTCGGTATACAGCATCGCCATAACGTTTGTTACGTTCGGAGTAATTAAGGAGCATATTGTAGTAGTTGTTGCTTGAAATTTGTCTCGTGTGAGATAATTAAATTTTCATTCAGAGTTGATCCAAGTTTCACACGGTTGAATTATGACACGCTCAGAGAAAAGGCACGGTGATAACGAGTATAGATGTACGTTAAGAAACACTTTGCATTTGTGTTGAAATCAACCTGTGTAGAAGTTTTTTGGCTATCAAATTTTCAATACATTCGCGTGTTAATTTGACGTATCGTCGTTATGCTATTTGCGACTATTCTACGTTCGTGATTCACTATTTTTGAGTGTTGAAATAACACAACTTACATGTAAGTGTACGAATTTTATGGTAAATTGTGTTACTTGTCAACAAATTTGTTCTTACTTGTTACATTAACAAAAAAATCAAAGTGGATGTATTGGGACATACGAAAATGTTAAACTCAACATAAAATTCCTTGCAATATGACAACCGAGTTTTATATGTGGAAGTAATGTACACAGTTTAATAAACTATTCTGTAGTTACTGTAACTAAAGCTGAATGGTTCTGAGAAGTACATAGTACTCCTAACCATTCAGCTTTAGTCGCAGTAACTACTGAATAGCTTATTAAACTGTATACATTGATTCTACATGCAAAACTCGTATAGTTGCCACTACCGTCCTTTTCTCTGGAGGGTATACGTGACATTTATATCTGAAGTCGTGATTCAGTCGGAGAAAATCCTCCGAATTCAAATCTGACTACCCCACTTGAGGCGAATTTCAAGTAATAACTATTAATACGGGCCTGAGAAGTCAAAAGAGACGACGATATTTTATTCAGACCCGTAGTTCCGACATCCGACATGGAATTCTGACATTTACCATATTTAAAGTTTCTAGAATTATTAATTATTGCACTGAGAAGAAACATATAAAAAAATGAATATTTATTTGGTGGGTACCAATAACATATTATATTTACTTAAATCTAAAGTCTTTTATTGAGACAGAATGAAAAAATAGGATTTTAAGAAAACATGTATTCGACAACAATTTCTTTTTCAGCGTAGAAATGTATGTATTATTCTAAGCAAATACGTGTTATTAGTACCCACCGAATAAATATTCTATTTTTTAGATATTTTTTCCCTCAGTGTAGGGCTTCTCGCGAAAGACCTCGTGCCGAGAATGCGTCCACTGCATTAGGGGTGGAATCGAATGCGTCTATGCCGTCCGCTTTAACGAGACTGTCGCGCAACGCGTCTATTCACCGGTGTTTTGCGTGGTAAAGGGGTCGAGTGCGAGCGAGAGAACGCGTTCCCCAGGTACGGCGGTACCTGTGCCGCATCGACGCGGCCGATCCCCGCGAGGAGCCCTGACAACGACGAGGCGAACTTTCGGCGGGATCACCGATCTCTATGCATCGCGTCGCGCTCCTCCTGTTCTCCCACAACACATGGCCCCGGGTTCGGGCCGGGTGGCTGATGACGCTCGTACCGAGAGACGTTCAGCTGCGAACTAAAGTCGGACACACGACTTCCTCCACGTTGTGCGGGTAAAACGGGAATACAGAAAGA